TTACTTTTTTGAAAAAGTAACTCAGATATTTTCTTGTAAATTAAAAAAGTAATGCGTTACTTTACTAGTTACTTGAAAAAAAGTAATCTGATTACATAACTCGCGTTACTTGTAATGAGTTACCCCCAACACTGGTAATGATTAAACCTTTATAGCAAGGAAATGGTTTAACGTGACATTTGGTAGATTAATGCAAATACTATAAAGATAACTTTAAATGAGTTAGAAATAGCAGGACTAAATGTAAAAAATAAGATGTGTATTATTAACAAATATAGGTGAATTTAGAGAATTTTAAATCTTAACATACAAAATCAGTGAGAGCTCAGAGTGGATTAAAAGCTCTAAATGTAAAATAGTTTGAGATGAAATAAAACATTTAGTTACAAAATTAAGTCAAAGGGATAATCTAGTTAGCAAGAACAGAAGATACAATTCTGTTAGACAGAAGAAACAGTGCATGCTAAAGTTTATAACATTACGAAGAACAAAGACGGAAAAAAGCTTGAAAATCAATACATGAATCCTATTGAAGAATTACATAGTACATACCTATGTTTGGCAGTTGAGAAATTCCTGAGATTGAGTTTTAACTTGCAAAACAGACATTAACAGCTTTGATTTAAAGTTGCAAGGAGCTTCAGGATAGTCCATTAGGGCACAGCTTACTAAGAATAGAGTTATGAACGCAAAAGATCAAAACTCGCATAAGAACCATTAAGAAATATATTTAAACATCTAAATATAGAAATAAAAAAAGGAGTGTAGGAAAAGGTCCGATAAAGGAGAGGGACTTATGCATTTGAAAACTCAGACCAGTGTTCACGGAGTTTGTAAATAATAATAATAATAATAAATAATGAAAAAAAGGTTTCTAGTTAATTTGAACAGTATAAGGAAAAACTATATTCTGAAATCTTGCTTTAATACATAGAACGAAATGTTTCAGCTCAATAAGAAAAATATTCAGCTGAAACAATAACTGGCAACAAAAGAGAAAAGTTAAACTCTCCAAGAAGGGGGAGAATATGAAGAAAAGTGTTGCCATTATCTGGACTAATGGATTAATGGACTAATTAATGATAGATAAACTCATTGATGCCAGAATATCTTCTAGAAGGGGAGAGGAAACCCATTGTTAGAAGATCTTCTGACATGCAGAAACAGGCTTTAAAGTAACAGTTGCTGAAACACAGATTCCAGTCTGTGTGGATGAAGCTGCAGAGGTACAGGAGGGTTAAACTTTCTGCTGGCATCTTCATAAAATAGAGAGGAGAGACAGAAACAAGATGGAGGAGAATGGGCAATGAGCCAGAAATAATGCAAAGATGAAGAAAATCCTGCTTATGTAAAACAATTCTAGTGCTACTAACAGTTATAACTGTAAATATAGCAGAATTTTAGCTTTTATTTCATTTTAAAAAGCAGTTAATTAGTAATTCAGCAAATTATGAAATAATTAAATAATATGAAGCAAATATTGTAAGTTGTGAGGAAAGGCCTGAGTGTCGCCCAACAGCCCCAGACCCAGAAAAGAGCGATGTAGAGTAATTTAGTGAGTAATTGTCAGGGTTCTGGACTGTCTGTGTGTGTTTTGCTCCCCGTGACCCAGTTTCTCCTCGTGTTAATTGTGTTAATTTGATTCCAGCTGTGTCTATTTTGTCCCTCGTTATCCTGTGTTTATAAGCCCCAGTCTGTTCAGTTAGTGTTTGTCGGGTCTACCAGTGATGTACGTGTGTCTACCTCCTGTTCCCTGTGTTGGATTTACCCTCTGTGTTGGATACTATTAAAGACTCTTTCGATTATCCACGGCTCCGTGTTCCATCCGGCAGCGTAACGTGACAGAAGACCCGACTGAAACCGTAACTTCCGCTCCGTTTGTTTTCTCGTTTTTCCCAGTGTTTTTGTGTTCCCGTTGTTGATATGGATCCCTTCATCTGCCCGGAATTCCTCCTCATCCTGCTGGAGCTGGAGGACAGATCTCTCGAGGACCATACAAGACTGTTCCGGCTGTTGGCAAGCACCACCAGTTACCCGGACGACGCATTCTGCTCATTCTGTGATGTGAGCTTGAACACCGCGAGCAGAGCGCCGTCGTCCGAGGATGGTCCTCGAGAGGATTTCATCGCCTTCGTGGAGTGGACTCTGGAGAGAAACGGATCGCCATCCACCACCTGTCCCGTGGATGATCTCGTCAGATCCACTCCAGACCCAGTGCCCAGCCCACCATCTCCCCGCGGTGCGGAGCATCAGCCCGAGCCCACCGATGACAGAGAGCCAATTCCCACCGCGATCGACGAGCCAGCGCAAAGACAGACATGGAGCTCAACCTGTCAGACCAGGTGCGAGAGCCGGCGACCATGCCCACCGCGAGGGAGCAAGCTGTGGACGGTGAGAGCGCGGAGTGGAGCTCCGCCCACTGCACCGCGGCTGAGGGTGAGCTGATTATACATCTGGGACTGCTGGACTCAGAAGGGGATTTAATAGACTGGGAAACTGAGCTGGAAGTCGACTTGCCCCCTCTCCTCTCTCCTTAGTCCCCGCTGGTCCCGTCCAACCCTGAGGGGGCTCCTGTTTCCCAGTCCAGCCAGGAGTGGGCTCTGATCCCTGAGGGCAGCCCTGAGGTTCACGAATGCTGTTATGGCTGTGGCCTGGGTCCAGCTGGGCTCCTCCTGCTCCGGATCCCTCCTGTTTCCTTCTTGGCTCCGCCCTCCATCGTCTCCTCCCTGGATTCTGGTCGTCGTCCTCCTCCTGAGCCACCTCCCAAGTGCCTCAGGAGGCCACGCGAGAGGATACATCATAAAGAAGAAGAGGATGCGTCATAATCAAACATGGCGGAAAATTTGGATGAGGGTTTTTACAAATGTAAGTATTACAAACCAAAAACACGGTTCCTTGTTTTAAATTCGCATTTGTTGAACTACTTTAGAGCAAATTGTTGAAAGTGTAAAGATGCTAAATGGTAGAATAGTTGTGATGTTGCTGTAAAAACACGTTTTATTATGTATAGCTAACAGGGGGGCTCCAGGAAGCACACGTACATCTCCAAAGTAGATTTACATACAGTTCAAACCATATACATCTTAAATACTATTACTAAATGTCTATTTAATATCTGGTAGGAAAATCTTCAATATGAAGTATGTCTAATAGGTCCTAGATATGAAGTAGACATCTGAGTGATGTATATGTGTGTTATTATTGTGTCGTACAATTCGCTGTTGTCAGCACTGTTTGCAATAGATGAATGTAAGTAATGTAAATACATTTCCATAAAGTAACTAAATATAAGTAATCTATTTTATTTGTCTATTAGTACTGTTGAAAAATTGAGGAACATTTGTGTTGGATAAAAAGCTACTTAACACGTCATCAACTACCTCAAAATGTAAATGTAATTTTGAGCACACAAATCTCAGAGGTGACTTGACTCTTGTCTGGATGTTACAGCGACAGATGAGACACACGTCTGCTTATCCGGCGGAGACGAGAGCGGCTAATGAAGCCCCCTTCACCAGAAAGCGGAATGCTGCCATCAAAGGCTTTGAGTGAGTACACTACAGAAATGAATAAAACATCTGTTTAAATCTTAAGTTGTAGTTTATTTCAATTATTGTAATTTCAAGTTATTACAGCACTTTTCTGATTCTTGATTTCTGTTCATTTGCTGCAGAGCTTTTGTGGTGGAGCAGGACCTGCAAGGCAGAGTGACGGCAGCATTTGTAAAAAAAAAAGAAAAGAAAAAGGAAAACCTCAAACAAAAATATAAAGTAAGATCCTTTTGTTACTTCTAATACAGAAATCTAATGACATGGTGCTATTAAAATGAGTGCTTTTGTATTATGTTTGTGCATCTTTGTAGGATCTGAAATGTCCACAGACCGGTGTTAGCACTGAGGAAGTCCACAGCAGCATCCTGGAAATGGTATAGTGCCATGGTTGAGGCAATTGACCTATCGGTAAGCCCCGCCCCCCCTTAGTGTTGCTCACTCGGACAAACAAACGGAGTTGCTCACTGTCTTACAATGACAGCTGTCAGTGAAAATCTTCTTCCGAGGTGTTTCTGATAAATTTGGGACACAGATGGACCTTCAAGTGGGACTTAAATATGCCATGGAGGGATATATAAAAGAGATTAAAATAAATATGTAAAAATACAGCTCACAATGCAAACGGGATAATTATTTTACGGTCGTCACGATCGCAACAACATGCAGGATCAACACCGTTCATAATCATATACGCAGAGTAAGATTAAATTAATTTACATTTAACCAGATTAATATGGAGAGGCACTCTAATATAGACCTTTGTTTATGCATTTTTCTGACTTTCACTGCACGGTACATGATGTGAGAACAGTTCGCTATTTAGGTTTGTAAGTTAGCATGGACTCGCTAACTTTAATGCTAACATTAGCTAGTTTAAGCCAGAGATACCTTGCTGAAGCACAAGATGACATTAACGTTCTGCTTGAGCAGATGAAAAGTGTAACTTAATGAGTATGACAACCCAAAAATGAACGTTTTCATCTCATTGTGATTTGCTTAGGGACATTTTGCTCTGTTTTGGTTGGATTTATGAAATGGAATAAAATTAATTACATTGCCTATCCTCTCAGGATAACTGGAATTAGTGTTACAAGTACCCTAGGCACATAGTTTTTCCATTTTTGTAGCATAAACACCATCAAACCGATGCGAGCTTCGGATCTTCCAGTGTTTCTCTATGGCGCTGAAACCTACAGATGTCTCGAGTTCCACTCCCCGTGCAACTGATACTCCACTGCCATAGGCTCATCTGCATTCGAGGGGAGGGGCTTACCGATTGGTCAATTGGGGACAGACCCTCCATCACTCCACCTGCCCTTATTGCCTCGTCTGGCCCAGATGTTGCTGTGAGTTCTTCATCCTCAGTGAGCCCAGAGCCAGCGAGGGCTACACGGAAAAGGCCAAAACACCTGGAGGACATAGTCGGAGAGATGGAGGAGAGGGAAGCAGAGAGAGAGTGGGAAGCTGCTGAGAGGGAGGAGAGACGATGGAAAGAAATGGAGGAGAAGGAGGACCGAAGAGAATGAGAGAAAGTGAGAGAGGAAAGACAAGAAAGAGAAGCAAGAGTAAGAGAAGTGAGATGGCAACGGGAAGTGAGAGAGAGAGAGAGGAAAGGAGAGAGAGGGAGACAAAGGAAAGGGATGAAAGATTCCTTTCCCTCCTTGAAATTCTGGCAAAAAAATAAGATAAAAGCATCTTCTGATCATTTGCACATTTGGGTTTGTGTAATAAGAAGAAACATATTTTCAAATAGAATTAAATTGAATATATATATGCGTACAGTACTGTGCAAAAATCATAAGGCACAACCAGCTTTGTTGTTTTAGCAATGCTTTAATGACCATCCATATTTCGCTCTCTTTATTAAGATAAAAACAGAAAATCAAGTAAATATGAACACAAATTAAAAAAAAAAAATGTACAAAATGGCTTCTTTAGGCAAACATCAGTAAGAAAGTGTCAAACAAGAAACTCTGTGAGGCTTATCACATTACTTCTAATCAGAAGTTTACTTGGGCTTCCAGTCCTTTTCCATTTGAGTTTAAGAAAGCCAGGTTCCTTCTGTTGCTCAAGTGTAAATGAGGTCACTACATTCTTGCCACATATGGTCATTATACCATTGCTACCACAATATCAAATGGTGGCCTAAGATTTTTGCACAATACTATGTATATAAAACAATCAATCTCTAGGCATTCACAGTGTATTATAGACTTCTAGATATTTAGTTATTAAATATTTATGAAGTGATGAATATTTTGTGAATATGTGTGGTGTAATGTACAAAAACACTTTCAAACAATAGTTTTGTTGCGTATTATGTGACTTATAAATGCATACAGAGCACGTGCAGGGATATTCAAGGCAGGTCATGGAGGGTTACTGCCCTGCAGGGTTCAGTTCCAACACACCTGTCAGTCATTTTCAGTTAGTTATTAATTGGTTTAAATAGATTGTTCAGGTGTACAATTAGGGTAGGAAAAACTCTGCAGGACAATGGCCCTCCAAGTTGAACTTGACACTGTTAACTCAAACTACCTTAAGTTTTGTACTAACTACGCACAGTAAAATAGCGACTGAAGGGTTAGTGCACACAAACATAAATTCAGTCAGTATTTACTTGCCTCCATGTTGTTTGATCCCCATGTTTTTTTTTAACCCACCAAATAGAAATTGTAGTAAATGTATGCATTTTGTATCTTGAAGAAATAAAGAAATAAGCAGCTTTAAGCATTTATGCCAGAGACAAAAAAAAAAAAAACCTTTCGAATCATGCTCATGGAGAGCAGGCACACAGATGTTTGGAGCAGACACCGCAGCAGCCAGATTGTCCCGCACATCTTCTCCCACTCTTGCCGGAGGGTTTTGGGGTTCAGGGGGGCCGTCATCATGGTCTTCCTCATCCTCTGCCTCAACGATGTCGCCATTGAGAAGAGTGAGATTGTGAAGCACAGCACAGCACGCGGCCACCTCAGGCACGAAGGCAGGGCTGATCTCTAACGCCTTGAAGAAAATAGAGCGCCAGCGTGTCTTCAGCATCCCAAAAGCTCTCTCAATGATGTTCCGGGCACGGGAGTGCTTGTTGAAACGAGCCTGCACAGGGTTCTGCACAGGCTCTCTGTATGGCGTGATGAGGCAGATGAGTGCACTCAGACAAGGGTAGCCACCATCCCAGAGGATGCACTTTCCTGCAGGTGGATATAGGCTGCCGGCATATACAGGGCTGTTCCTCAGCACCCTAGAATCGTGCACAGACCCCGGATATCCCACAAAGACATCAAGGAATTTCCCCTGGTGATCAGTGATGGCCTGGAGTTGGATGGAATGAAACAGTTTTCTGTTGTAGTAGCATTGGGAGTTATTTGCTGGAGGTTTAATTCGGATACGACAGCCGTCTATTGCACCGACTGCTCGACTGAAAGCTGGTGACCCAGCTAGCTGTGCAAATCCTCCGAATTCACCCTCCTCAAAATTCCTATGACTGCCTTGCTCACTTTGTGCACAATCGCATGCACAGAGGATATGGGCATATCAAAGGTCTGTGACACGACCCTGTAGGATGCTGCATGTGCAAGCCAGTGGAGGAATACGAGGACTTCAATGTCCTTTTCCCACACATGGTCAGATTCCAATCTGACTGCTGCAATGAGGGACCTCGATGTCCCCCTCTCCCATCCAGTCAGATTCCAGTCTGAGTGCACCAATGAGGGACATGATGGACCCCAAAGACAGGCGAAGGTGGGCAAGGTGGTCAGCTGCTTCATCAAAATAAAGCTGCAGAATTGGCACAGCTCTGTTGAGATGGCAGTAGGATGTGGGGTTGAAAATGTAAATGTAAATGTAAATGTTATAGCTTGTTAGAATGATAAATTTGAATAAAGATTTGTTTCAGGTGTTGTTGACTTGTATTTGTGATGTTTTATTCATTTTTTTTACTCGTTTTTGTTCATCCTATTGTCAGTTAAATATAATTGTTTTATTCATGCATTAATTCATTGCTTGACTGAAAATGTATGTATTCACATTGGCTGCATTTGTCTACTATTCATGCATAAAATGTCATGACAATACAATTAAATTACATTAGGCGTATTTTACTCAAATATATAATTTTCACTAAGAAAATGTAATATAATTAAGTATTGGTCAGCATTTATCAATGTTATAGTGCAATCATTCTAACCTAATGTTAATTTTTAAGAATTCATACTTACACTTTTAGAGTATAAAATCAATCTTCTCCAAAGGCGAGATCTTCGAGCAGCTGCCCGACGTCTCCTTTGTGCAGACTGTTCAGATATTGCAGACATTTTTGCTGATGTAGCAGAAAACCGTACAAGGTATGGTTGTGGAACTACTGATGAAATCAGGTGTTAGTGCACCTGTCGGTCATATCTTTTAAATTGTTGGTCCTTGTGATAACGTCAACATGGCGGATGAGATCAGGATTGCATTCATACTCAGAGATCTGGCTATTTAGTACCTACTCTTTTAGCGCTCGTTAAGTAAGTCATAAGTCATAGTAAGTCTACTCATTGAGTAGGCGGTTTCGGACACAGCCTGTGGCTGGAATTCAGTTGTAGTTCTTGTGTTTCTCTTTCCTTCAGTGATTCTGCTTGTTAACAGCAGGTGTTCATCACTAATGTTCAATTAGCACTTAATTAATCACTTAATTATCTCATTAACTCTGCTTCAGTGTTACTCTAACACTGTGTAGATGGGGACAATATATATATATGTGCTCTGAGCAGAGTTGCTTTAACTCTGGGGGTTTTGTTGTGCAGTGCTAGTAGCCGACAGTGCAATAATGTTGATTCTTATAACACTTGATTGGCTGCATTTGTCTACTATTCATGCATAAAATGTCATGACAATACAATTAAATTACATTAGGCGTATTTTACTCAAATATATAATTTTCACTAAGAAAATGTAATATAATTAAGTATTGGTCAGCATTTATCAATGTTATAGTGCAATCATTCTAACCTAATGTTAATTTTTAAGAATTCATACTTACACTTTTAGAGTATAAAATCAATCTTCTCCAAAGGCGAGATCTTCGAGCAGCTGCCCGACGTCTCCTTTGTGCAGACTGTTCAGATATTGCAGACATTTTTGCTGATGTAGCAGAAAACCGTACAAGGTATGG